TATGCTAATGAGTTCCCCTAGCTCTTTTTCTACGAAACGACCCCTGCCTTAATCTATCTCTTAGACCAACACTCTGGTACACTCAGCTTACTGGACTCCCTAATTTGAGTCCAGTAGCACTTAGAGACCAAAAAGATTTTTGGGTACAAGCTTGTAAGGGTCAAAGCTCCCTTCGCCATACCGCCGAAGGGAGCTTTGACCCTTTAAGGGAACTTTGACCCTCTTTGTTGGTCTCAAAGGTGCTACTGGACTTGAGTCTAACTCTTTTTCTCCCTCTCCCAAAATACTGGAACTGAAGGGCTTCCAATGAAGCTGATGGGCAGTAGGTTCAAGACGTACAAAAGGAAACACTACTTTACACAGAGAGTGACTAAAATGTGGAATTTGTTGCCAGAGGATGTACTGCTGGCCAACGTAACAAACAACTTTAAAGGGGGATTAGATAGATTCGTGAAGGATAAATCCATCAATGGCTACTAGCTATGGTGACTGAGGAGAATCTACACATTCAGAAGTGCTATCCTCTGAATCCCAGAGCCAGGAGGCAACATCAGGGGAAGGCCTCGGCCTCTATGCCCTGTTGTTGGTCCTCCAGAGGAACTGGTTGACCACAGTGTGAGACGGGATGCCGGACTAGACGGACTATTGGTCTGAGCCAGGAGGGTTCTTCTTATGCTGCTATGTTTTCATATTTTTCTACTGCAGACCAATGCGGCTACCTTCTGAATCTAGATTTCCCAAAGATACTTGGCTATTCAGACCCTCAACAAGAAAGAAGCAAACCCCATTTAACGAGTTTCCCGAGACCATTTTATATGGGGGGGGGGAACTGACCCAACCCAACACCTTGCTCCTGCTTCTATGCACCGAAACGTGATCCACTGTTGAAACCCGAAAGGGCATTCTCACCTTGCTCGGTGCGCACTCCGTTCCGTCCAGTGGAGGCCCCTTCTTGGTCTTGCAGAAATAGGGGTTGTCCGGATGGCTGCACCACAACTGTTTGCAAGGGTCAAAGGTTCGGAACTAAAAGGATGAGAAATCAAGATACATTTTCGCACCTGAAGAAACAAAGGATGTAGTTAAGAAAAACGGCTGCAAAGATTCAACTGAGTTCTGAACCCAAGACGTACCAGCATATGACTGCACATCAGTATTTGGGGACACAATATTAACACCCCCCCCAACTCTTTCAACGGCACATTTCCATCAGAGAAAGGTCCATAGTTCAGTAGTTGAAAGCACGGTTTGCGTGCAGAAGGTCCCGGGATCAATCCCTGGCATCCCAACCTGAAGAATTTCAAGTAGGAAGACCTGTCTGCTTGAGACCTTGGAGAACTGCTGTTAGTCACAGCAAATAAATAGTCTGACTTAGGAAAAGGCAGACGCTCCCCATGGTCACTTAGAATCATAGAATCATAGAATGTTGGAGTTGGAAGGGACCTTGCAGGTCATCTAGTCCAACCCCCTGCACTCTGCAGGAGCATAGCCGAAAGAGAGTCCTACAACATACCCGTCCAGCCTCCACTTGAAAACGTCCAGCGAAGGAGCATCCACCACCTCCCGAGGCAGTCTGTTCCACTGCTCAACCACTCTTACAGTTGGGAAGTTTCTTCTGATATTTAGCCGATATTGACTCCTTGTAATTTAGCTGATACTGACCCATTAGATCTAATCTTGCAATCCGGAGCAAGAGAGAATAGATCTGATCCATCTTCTACATGACAGCCCTTCAGATATTTGAAGACTGCCATCGTGTCCCCTCTAAGCCTTCTCTTTCCCAGGCTAAACATACCCAACTCTTTCAGCCTTTCCTCGTAAGACTTGGATTCCAACCCTCTCACCATCCTGGTTGCTCTCTTCTGGACACACTCTTGGTTTACAGAGTGGGATTACACAGGGAATATAAAGGAGAATTGTCTCCGTTCCAGCTCAGTTGGAGAATTTCTCCACATATGGCCCTTTGGGGTCAGCTCAGGGAGTGCACAGCTTCCATTTCCAAGCCTGGAGGGATTCCTCAACCCAGGTCATCGCACAGCTTCCTCTGAGTCATATTCTTGCAATCATCTTTCAGGATAACACAGTGATTTGGTAGTTTTGAGGCTTAATACCTGTGCTAAACAGCATCAGATACAGATCGGGTTTTTTGTACCAGTTGTCCATTGTTTGGGGGACAAAGCGACTGTTTTGCTTCATTGAAACTCCATTCCCCTTATGAAACAGAAACACGCTGCAAACATACTGTTCTGCCTTAACTTAGGCTACCCCTTCGAGCGCACTGAAGATGCTGTGTAAATAGATAATAACAATGAGATAATTGTTATCCCAGGCGAGCGGTGCACTAAATTAACTCAGCCACAATCCTCAAGCTACGAGCACTATGATTAATGGAGATAGCTTCCTTTTCCACCATTTTACTTCTGCCAAGCAATGTGGCATCTCCCAAAGAGAGTTGAATGGTTAAACATTTAATCTTTCCAGGAACATACCGCTGTACACATTTTGTAGCCCACTCCAAAATCAAAGCGGCACTGTTCGTCCATGGAATAATTGATTCCTGGCAGCTCCGGGAGTTTGGGCCAGTCATGTTCAAAGGGGTCATCGAGGAGGCAGTCGTAGGAGCTGCGGGAAGAGTAAGAGATGGAACGATTGGCAACCTTGGTGCCAACAAGGAAACTTTTTAACATCGGCAGTTCCCTTCATTCAAATGAGCATCATGAAGATGTTCCTCGTTTTAGGTCATCTTCAAGTTTATTTAAACTGTATAGTCCGGGGACTTCTCTACCCCATCAGTCCAAGAGCTTAGATCCCATGGGAAATTGCTGCTCATTTTTTCTGTTTCAAAAACAATTTATTAGGATATATTATTAAGTCAAATACAAGTTATATTAATAGTTGTTATACATCCTTTTTCCTATCCCTCCCCCCCCCCCTTGGCTTCCCACAGTGCTCCAAACCTCCAGCCCATTTCTTAAATTTTCTCTATTTTCCCTTATCTTTTAATCATCATCTACCGGTAACATTTCTTTCAACTATTGTTTTCTTAGATAACACACACTTTTCAATAACTGTCAAAGCAAACTAAATTGTCCTTTACATCCCAATACTTCTCTAAGTAATCTTTAAAATCTTTCCAGTCTGCATAGAATTTTTCTGCTTCCAGATTCTTAAGTTTCCTTGTCATTTTGTCCATTTCAACCATAAACAATAGTTTCCTTATCCAATCCCCGATTTCTGGGATTCTATCCTGTTTCCAACATTGGGCATAAGTCATTCTGGCCGTTGTGATCATATACCACATCAGCGTCCTTTTCCCCACATTGACTTCTTCCATTTTAAGTCCCAACAGTAGTATTTCTGGTTCTTTCTTAAAACTACATGGAAATTGCTGCTAATTGAAGGGGTGTGTGTGCATGGGTAAAGTACCATCAATTCACAACCCAGTAGTGTTTTCAAGTCAAGAGACATTCAGAGGTGGTTTGCCATTGCTTTCTTCTGCAAAGTGACCCTGGAATTCCTTGGTGGTCTCCCATCCAAGTACTTAACCACGGCTGACTCTGCTTAGCTTCTGAGATCTGATGAGATTGGGCTAGCCTGGGGCCATCCAGGTCAGGGTAATTATCAGGTAGCCCTGTCATGAGTCTGGAATGTGGAGGGGTGCCCTCCTCCTGTTCTCAGCTCTTCCCTGTCCAGCTAAAGGTAAAGGTAAAGGTTCCCTTGCTCGAAAGCCAGTCAAATCCGACTCTAGGGTTGCGGTGCTCATCTCCGTTTCAAAGCCGAAGAGCCAGCGCTGTCCGAAGACGTTTCCGTGGTCATGTGGCTGGCATGACTAAACACCAAGGCGCACGGAACGCTGTTACCTTCCCACCGAAGTGGTCCCTATTTATCTACTTGCAATTTCTTGCTTTCGAACTGCTAGGTTGGCAGGAGCTGGAACTAGAGACAGGAACTCACCCTGTCTTGCGGCACCCGGGTCTTGAACCGCTGAACTACTGACCTTCCACAGCCTGCAGTTCAGCGTCTTAACCACTTGAGCCACCACAGCTCCTGTCCAGCTACTGTGCATTATCTCTGGCTTGACCTTGTAGTCTCCAGCTGCTTTTACTCTGCTGGGAAAGTAATGGCTTTTCCCTGTGCCCGCTCTCTTGCTTTTGCCCGTGCATGTGAACTATAATCATTGGCTTCAGCTCAATGGGAGGGGGATGGTTGATATCACTATAAGTCAGAGGCCCTTACACTGACGGCCATTCCTGACACAAGCTGTACACGTGTTCTTTAGTACTGGAATCACTAATAAAGCAGTTATCTTCTTCTGAAGCCCTGTGTGGTGTGACCTGCCTAAAGACCCTGACAGCAATGGCGGGAGTATATGTTGATTTTCACTCTCCTGCAGTAGACCTGTGATTTCTACCTCATGCTGTTGGGGGAGTGCTATATCCCCCAGGAGCATTATTTGGGGGGGTCATTTGGGGCCAGAAGAGGAGGACAAAGGTAAAGAAGTCCCATTCTACTGAGACAAATCCTTTCCATTAGCAGTGATTTGTTGCAGGATCCGAGCCAAGGGCAGTGACCTGGATGGCCCAGGCTACTTCAACCTCGTCAGATCTCAGAAGCTAAGCAGGGTCAGCCCTGGTGAGTACATGGATGGGAGACCACCAAGGAAGGCCAGTATGCAAAAGCAGGCAATGGCAAACCACCGTTCAATGTCTCTTGCCTTGAAAATTGTAGAGGGGTCACCATATATTGGCTGTGACTTGACAGCATTTCCCACCACCACCAAGCCAAGGCGTCTAAGGCTGTGATACCACGCACCTTTAGATCCGACACAGGCACAAATGCCTGATGGATTTAAAGGGCGCGATCAGACAGCAACATCCTGGAAGCGTTCCGCAGTCATTGGCAACCCATACTGCTCCACCGCAGAAGTGGAGTTAGAAGACACTATTGAGATATATGTCAGAGTGATAGAGGTAGCAAGCAGTTACTATAGATCAGTTTGACCTGTTTGTCAGACCTAGCTGTCATGCTAGTAATCAAGTAATTACAGCCAGGTGTTTTCTAGCAGGTGTTACTCTTTCAGGGCTTGTTAGAGCTAGTGATTAAATCACTTTGTTAGAGATTGGCTGGGGTTTAGCATAATGGCTATCAGCTTAGTAAACTGGATGGGACTCAGTTCTCATAGACTAAGGCACGACATGCTGTTCAATAGCCTGTAAATATCTCTGTATATATTCACTTTTATAACTATATAAACTCTCTGTGCACCTTCATAACTGGTCAGTCTCCCGCCTCTTAATTACAATACCCAATAGACACCGGGGAAAGTCTGGCTCCAACGGGTTCCGATGGGCCACGGATGGACTTTCCCCGGTCTGATCATGAAAGCATGCTCTCATGCCGTCAGGATGGTCTGATCATGCCATCCTGGCTCGGTGCTGGCCCCCCCCCACGCTTCGCAGTATGCGCATTATGGCATACTCCGTAGGAGGCCCTCAGTGCGGAGGTGCGATTCCTCATTTATGCACAAGGGAAACAAATGGCCAAAAAAAGAGACTCACTCGCGGTTGCGTCTGATCACACAGTGACGGGCTGAGCCCGCAGCTACAAAGGGAGGTGTGATCTCGCAACTGCATGTCAGATTCCTCCGGAGGAAACAGCTTCACTTCCCCTCCGCTTCAAGTGGCGCGTGTGACCGCAGCCTAACAGTAAAAGGCTCTGGCGTTACACTTCCCACCTAAAGTTAGGGACACACGTCTAACATTTCTACCTTAAGCCCTTCCCTTTTTCTCTAATGCAGAGGACTTACACGTGAAAGATTCGGGACAGAATTCACACCAAAGCTTTCGGTCTCAACTCCCTTCCCAGAAATCTTTGGCTTAGAGAGCCAGTTTGGTGTAGTGGTTAAGTGTGCGGACTCTAATCTGGAAGAACCGGGTTTGATTCCCCACTCCTCCACTTGCACCTGGCTGGATGACCTTGGGCAAGCCATAAGTCTGGCACAGCTGTCCTTGAAAAAGAGCAGTTTGTGTCAGAGTTCTCTCAGCCCCACCCACCTCACAGGGTGTCTGTTGTGGGGAGGGGAAGGGAAAGGAGTTTGTAAGCCGCTCTGAGACACCTTTGGGTAGTGAAGAGCGGGGTATAAATCCAAACTCTTCTTCTTCTTCTTCTCTAAGAAGAATTCACAGTATGGTCTCCCTTTTGCATATCTGAAGAAGTAAGCTGTGACCCATGGAAGTTCCTATTGAAATGATGGCGGTGATAGTGGTGGGAAGTACCATCAAGTCACTGCTGACATACGGTGACCCCGGAGGGTTTGCAAGGCTTGCCCAAGGACATCCAGCAGCTGCAAGTGGAGGAGTGGGGGATCGAACCTGGTTTCCCCAGATTAGAGTCCGCACACTTAATCACGACACCAAACTGGCTCTCAACTACCCTGTGAAGTGTTGTGAAAGTATTGAGACTTTAAAAAATCAGGATGCAACCTAGATGAAAGAGCTGGGGGAGACAGTCTTAAGCAAAGTCTTGGAGAAGAAGAGGAAAGAAACTGATACATCCAGAGAGGAAGGAATTCCAAGGATCTACCTCTCTAGTGTATTTTATCCCAGCCTTTCTCTGGGACTCTCAGTGCCATACATGGTTCTGACTCAGTTCATCCTCACAACAATCCTGTGAGGTAGGTTATGGAGACAGAGAGAGAGAGAGTGAGTGGCCCAAGATCATCCCCGAAGAGTTACAGGAGTGTGATAATTCGAATCCGGATCCTGGGGCTCTTCTGCCAGACATATAGCGACATAATATCGTATCGACCACTAGAGGGAGCAAAACACATGCAGAAAAGAAAAACAAAAAAACCCAAAACCAAAGCAACAGGGACACAAGTGACGAAAATAAAAATGCAGATGAGTCCCCAGTCCCCTGGTCCTGACAGGGGTTCCCCCAATTTTTCGGACTTCAGTCCGCTGCCGGTCAGCTGGCCAGCGGGGGGAACCTCATCCCCAAACAGCCAAGTTCCGGCACAACGTCCTGAACATGATGACATCATCCAAAAGTGACATCATCACGTCGAGGGCATCACGCAGGATGCTCTGGTTTGAGGGCAAAACTCTATGGTCAATCTGGCCTAAAATCATAGAGTTTTGCCCTCGAACCAGAGCGTCCTGCGTGACACCTCTGACATGATGGGTAATGTCACTGCATCGGGAAATGTTCTGAAAACTCCCACAAATCCTCCCACCAGCACGGTGAGGGGACCTGGCAACTCTAAATGAGTCCCTACTCTGAAACACTAACCACCACACCACACTGGCATGTGTATGGGAACCGGAAAGAAGGAAAGAAAGAGAGAAAGAGAAAGAGAGAAGGAAGGAAGGAAGGAAGGAAGGAAGGAAGGAAGGAAGGAAGGAAGGAAGGAAGGAAGGAAGGAAGGAA